AGCAGCAATGACCAATGCAGCGCCGGTGACCGGCAAGATGTGCAAGCAGCGGCCACCTCATCATCCCGGACACTGAATTGAGAGCTCCTGGTCCTCACCCCACCTGTCCTGCTCCTCGTCGCATGCTGCGCCACCCCAGATCCACTCGCCCATGTGCCACCGAAGTTGGCTCGGAAGCTAGCTCCCGCTAGTCGCAACGCCACAGTACCTCTTAGCATTGTCTTCTCGGTTATCCCTTACCAAACTGTCATCGAGATCGCAGGTGGATGTGCCGCAGCTACCTCGCCAAGTTGTGACCTTGCTGCCACCTACTTTTTTTTGTGTGTATTTTGTTTACTCTTAAATTTAACCACTTGTAATTTTTTACTGATAAGATTCAACCGTTTGTAATATTTTTACTCTCAAAATCCACAGAGAGTAAAAACTTTACTCTTGGTTTTAAGTGATAAGTAAATACTCCTAATGTTAAGCATGAGTGTTTTTTTTACTCAGTACGAGAGAGGGATGATACAGAGAGAAGAAGACGAGCCCTTGGACCAAAACAAAAAATACATTGATAGGCGGGCAGTTATTTGAAAAATGTCCACATATCTCTATAATCCAATGGTGCAAAAAAAAAGAAAAAGGTTAATAGTGTAAAAGGGGTTTCATGGTCGTAGTGAACTAGAGTTGATATTTTAAGGCGAATGTATTAATTATTACGCTTCGTTCGTTTCATGGGTAGGAAGAAAATTTTTCAGGGCACGCAAAACAAGAAAGACCACTTACACATGATTAACTAAGTATTAATTATTGTAACCTTAAAAAATAAATTTATTTGATTTTTTAAACAATTTCTATATGAAATTTTTTTAAAAAATATATATCGCTCAGCAGTTTAAAAAGTGTGCTAACGAAAAACGAAAGTTGAAATTTGGAGTTGAAGGTCTAAATAATACAGTTATGTCCTATATTCGTTTTTTTTTAACGGAGGGATCCGTACATAGGAATAGTACAGTACAGTATAAACCTCTGCATGCAGGTACGTCATGCACCGGCACTTAGTGACAAGTTGGAAATTATATGGTGTAAAACGACATGACATACGCTAGCTAGGGCCGGCCGGGAGCTGCCACAGTGCCACTGCTAGCCCATACTCCAATATCGATTCGGGATCCTTGCAGTACGTTGGCAGTGTATATCGCGCAGCAGTAGGCGACTTTGGTGTGCGTAGAGGACAAAGAAAACTGACAGTATCCGATCGACCATGTAGGACAGCGAGAGATCGACTTGGTGTGCGTGTGCGTGCGCCACCAAGTTTGACACGAAAACATCGTAGGCCAACCAACATCGAGCGGTACGCAGGAGTAGGAACGTCGTCTTGCACGTAATTTGAGGCTTTGAGCTCTATAGTATCCCAGTCCAACAACAAGCAACAACACATTCAATTTTCTACAAGGACCTCTATTTGGAGCCGTGAGAATTTTTAGAAAAAGAAACGTTCCATAAAAGGATGATTGGGAAAACTTCAACCAACGAATTCGGCTATGATGATTGATTAAAGGAGTCCTTGATTAGACTACGGTTTGTAAAACCAACTAAGCAATAAAAATAATTTATATGTAAGACTTCCATATCGATAGTATTCACGGTTCAAAAGTCAAGTATGAAAAATAGATTGTAATAGAAAGCTTCAAATTAGCTTAAAATTAATTTTTAAAACCTAAATTTTGGATGTAGCCGATGAACGAATAAGTGCACGATGAGATAGGTGATGTTTTCATTGAAAGTAAAATAAAAAAATCTCTAAAAATTAGAAAATCTTAGATCCAGACATCCTGTAAACATTAGAGCGTTTACTGTGTATGGCCTAAGAGGAGTAACCCCACTAGTCACGTAGGCTCGGATGCCATCATGGAGGAAAGGGACTGACTTTGAAGTTTGTTTACAAAGTGTAAGACAACAAGAGTACCTTCTACAAGCCACAAGTTTTCCATGAAAAAAGTTATGTCCCAAACAGGGATGGAGGAGAAGAGAATGAAGACTAGGAATAAGCCACCTCTAATGCGCGTATGATTAGGAAGGTCCGCCGACCACCGTCGCTGTTGAGAAGAGGTTGTCGCCACCAATAGGACGACGTCGCAAGTGCCCAAGCTTGCTAAAGACGGTGGCGATTTGTGGATAGGCAATGCCAAGATCTAAGAACTATATTTGGCCCTTGCTAGGGGCGGAGACAAGAGTAGGGCAGCTAGGGCTGCAGCCCTACTCCTGATCCTAAGTATTCATTGAAATTCCATTTTAAAACTTCAAAAGCTAGAAGATAAAGGCAAAATTATATACATTCAACTAATTGAGCCCTAGGTTTGGAAAAATTCTGGCTCCGCCACTGGCCCTTGCCGCCAAAGACATCATTGGTTGAAGCCTTTGTGGAGCTCGTTGGCCCAAGCCATTGCTAAATCCCATTGGTCGTAACTCCCTCCAACCGTGGAGCTTGTTAGTCCGAACCGCTTCCAATCTATAACAACGCCAAATCCATTAGCTGTAGTTGCCCCCAACTCGGCAGAGCTTGTCGACCCAAGCTACTCCTGATTTGTGCAGCCACGAAGCTTGTCCATCCAATTTGCTGCCTAATAAGAGGGGAAAGCGACAACGACCGTAGACGGGGAAGTGGTGGTGGAATAGTGGTGCGTAGATATGATGGAGGCGAGGAGGAGGAGCCAGCGACAACGAGCTAGGGTGGCCAAAGATGATGGAATAGGGGAGCAAGAATGACTAGTAAGAATGTGGATTATTTTTATTTTAGAGGTTTTTATAAATTATTTTGTCTAATTAAGGGTGCTAACAGCACAATTTTGGATAAGGTTGTAAATAAAATCAACGGAAGGATTGATGGGCAAATAAACAAAGTGAAATAAAAATCTTCCTACGGGCTCAAGCTATATTTGCACTATGGGAGCAATCTATACCATCTCTCTAGAGATAACTACACGAGGCTACTCCTATGAGTGGCCACTGAGAAGAGAGTGTGCACCACGTAGGTTAGTACCATATCTCTTCTACTCCCTCCGTCTTAAAAAAACCCTCCATCCTAGAAATGGTTTTTTTATTGAGCGAATATAAGACAAATTGGTTTTAAGTGGTAGCTTTAATTTTTCATGTCAGCCCCTGACATTTTATATTTCTTCTTTTCCGGCTGGTGGGGGTAGGGGTGAGGAGGGAGAAGGAGGTTGTGGAGTGTCCTGTGGTGGTAGATCCATCTTCTTTCTCCTTTGCATTCATGTGGTGATATCCGTGGTGGTAGGTCCATCTTTCTTCTCCACCATACATGTTCCGTTTTTCCTGATTTCATCCATTGCGCCATCATTTTAGATCTGACGAATTAAGCTGACATCATTATAAGCTTCATAATAAGAAGGGCGAGACCATGTCACAGAGACATGGCCTCGCCCAACACGGCTCGCAAACCGTGCCTCTATCTTAGCTTGTTGCTAAGGCATGAGGAGCCTCGCGGGGGAATGGGTATGATAAATTGACCTAGCTCCGGTATGACAACGAACCAAAACCAATGTCCGCTCACTGCAAGGCCTAACTGCCCTTACTCTAGCTAGGTACGTACTATCTCTGTTTCAAAATAAGTGCAGTTATGGGAATCCGTATCCAACGTTTGACCATCCGTCTTATTTAAAAATTTTATGAGAAAATTAAAATAAATTAGTCACATATAAAGTGCTATTTATATTTTATCATCAAATAACAATAAAAATATTAATCGTAAAAAAATTGCAAATAAAATAAACGGTCAAACGAAAACGTAAGATATGAAAAACTACATTTATTTTGGCAGAGACGGAGTATGACGCGGAAACGCAACCCACAACTTGTCCTCCGTCGTGCAGAACAGACAGGCACAGTGCCATCGATCCGTATCCTATCCATCCACACACTACTCCTACACAGTAGTAGTAGGAGGGAGGAGCTACGAAAGCACGGGAGATAGGCCCGCTATTAGCAGTACTGCTTGGACTAGCGGCTCTGTATCCATCAGATTCGTGCGTGTGCATGATGTGCCATTACACGGCCTGATGTAGCCAAAACCAGCAGCCAGCCAAAGAAACTACTGCACGCAGGCACATCAGCACATGTGCCGTCTTGGTCAGCATCAGCACAAGAGAGAAAAAGATGCCATGCCATCAAGGCGCGAGCCAACAGACTACTCCATCCGTCCCAAAATAAATATAGTTTTATATATTCACGTTTAATATTTGATTGTTCATCTTATTTAAAATTTTTTAATAATTATTATTTTTATTGCTATTAGATGATAAAATATGAATAGTACTTTATGTGTAACTAAATATTTTCAAATTTTTCACAAAATTTTCTAATAAGACGGACGGTCAAATGTTGGGCACGAATATTTATTGTGAGACAGAGGTATTACTTTTCAGGATTGCATGCCGCGAAAAAAGACTTTGGAGGATGCATACATACATCTCGCGTCGCAGCACGAGACGACGCCGCCGGGTTGCAGGCCGGCCGGTCGCCACTGCCACCATTGCCATGGGCAGCAGAAGCGGCTCCCTTTCTTCGTGGGGCCCAGCAAAAGAGAGGTACTTTTTTTTCTTTTCGATTAAAAGGAGAGCTCCTTGATAGTATTGTATTTCATCTTGGTACATAAATCAATGATAAGTAATTCTATTTATCATCTATTTAAACATGCTACTAGTCATTTATCGTAAACAAGCGATTCATTAATATTTACATTTCTCGATGCCCATATAGCCAATATTGTGTGGAAGAATGGAGAGTCACGCATAAAATCCGAGAAAGTCATTAAGATGATAGGTTGTTGGATTGAAATATGTCTATCAAAAATAAATTTTTCAGATTTTGACTATCAAAAATAGATGGAGGGAGTATAAATAAGGGAAGCACTACAAAATTGGATGTAGGATATTTCATAGAACATCACATGGTATTGCACTATATTGTTTCACATGTTGCACTACTCGATAAAAAAATGTTTCAACAAAAAAATTTCAGATGTTTCATCAAGTAGGAAAAAATATTTCATCGCTTGATCGAAAGTATTTCAGTCAGATACAACATCCATACTAATTGCAACACCAAGAAATCAATGGATGAAACATGAAAACAAAACAAAATGAAACACTCAAATCAGAACATTGAATCAAAACAAAATGTAACTCTCGAATCAGACCGACGATGCTGGCTAGCTACGCGCACGAGATTATTGTTGACTTGCCGGAGATGAGGAAGGAGGACATGCGGATGAAGGTGGCGTAGAACCGGATGCGACAGCTTGGCGACTACAGGAGGAGTGGAAGGGCGACAGCCACTAGCATCGGGAGGAGTGCTCCTAAGGTAGGTTCTGGTGCCAGCTCCACCTCCCCTACAAATGTCAACCTCATCGCTGCCACCCTCGACAATACGTGCTCAATCGTGTGGTTCCGGAAGCTAGCGTCTGACCAGATCAAGAACACCCTGCTACCATTGTTGCAGTCGTGGCCACCAGCAACGGCGGTTCTGCCAATATCCCGATGAACCTGTTCAATAGCTAGGAAGGTAAGAGAAAATGTGAGAATAATTAGGATTAAGGAAGATGAAAAGGTCGAGCCGTTATGGTTAAATCGATGCGGGCCCACATGGCGTAACCGCCCGATGTTTCGTCTCGCGTCGAATGCTCAATGCAAATTGTTTCCGTTTAAATAGATCTCTTTAAAACACAAAAATACTACAAAATCCATATGTTACAAAGAACAAGTACTTTCTCCATCCTTAAATACTAGTAACATACACGTGCTAACGCTACGGCAGTATTAGATAATTCAAATCAAATAATAGAAAACGATATATGTTTGAGAATGAGATATATACTCAAGTTTGATTGAAAAAAGGAACAATATAGAATTTTTATACATTGTTAATTACATAGCAAAGTAATATGCATGTGCTAACGCTACGACAGTATTTGATAATTCAAATCAAATAATAGAAAAAGATATATGTTTGAGAATGAGATATATACTCAAGATTGATTGAAAAAAAGAACAATATAGAATTTTTATACATTGTTAATTACATAGCAATTTTTTTGTCTTTCAAAACCCAAGTTGTACTTCTGATGGAATGTGTGTTAGGCACTTGGTAATTTTATCCACTGCAATGGGGACAACTCTACAAGGGGCTCAGTTGCTCAGAACTGATCATCGAACACAACTTCCTAAAACTATTGTATTGGCACTTCTCTCGGTCACGGAATATATTTGTGAGCTGGTTCGCAATACTGAGAGCAAAAGCACGGTGTATACTCTTCTCCTGCTTCTCCTGCGTGAACTAAAAATAGCAGAAATTTGATGGGATTCATAGCACAAAAAGAAAGGAAATCCTCTTATCCCATATGCCATCGTTTGTAAATATACTTCCTAATTGATCAGGAAACATAAATAAAAATTATTCCTGCTTGGTTTGTTTAAGCTGTTCTAAACAACACGTTATGGACAAACATATATAAGTATGATATGCATTTGTAGCCTCATTAGAAGTACTATTAGCTTGCATGCTAAATAATTGTAATTGCACTAATAACTATAAAGAAATAATATATGGGCTATCACAAATGCACCTATTTCCATAAAAGTAATTTCCATCTAACATAGCTTGAATATATTACCTAACCAAGGTGTTCAAAGAAGCAGCCTGGTTGCTGGCAACGCCCTTCAAGTCGATCACCTTGTTCCTCAAACACGCTGTGTTTCACCATCATCGACTACGCTTCTCCTCCACCCCACTCCACACATCTGTCTAGAACATCCCATTGAAATCGCAATTAGGGCACCACTGCAACACAACATCATGCTCAGCGAATATTTGGCACTGAAACAGAACTCCAACAGTAAAAAAAAACTATAGTAACTTTGACTTGAATAATCTACAGTAATTTGCATCAGACCAGCATCCCAAGCCTAATAACAGATAATCCATTGTTCACAATCTCATCCTGCAGAAATAAATGAAATGGATCCAACATCCCAACCATATGTACCGGACAAGGAATAAACCTCCTGAGGCGGTGTGTACTGACCTAAATGAAGGCCTTGGCCCCCGCCTAGGTCTCAGCCAGCACAATCAGTATGAGCATTACAGTGTACTGATAAGGCGTCAAGGATAAGGATGGACTGATATAAGAAGGAATCAAGATTATTGGCCAGAACATACGTCCAAACAATATAGTTATCAAGTAAATTTTCTGTTGCTTGTCCATCAGAAGAGTTCATTGCATCATTATTTACTTGATTTATTGATACACCAAAAAAAGCAGATTGTCAAAGTTAATATGGTACCAAGATGAATTTGCAATACGGAGCAATAACTTGGCAACTTGCCTGACCAATCAAGCAACAAGGACACATGAAAAAATAGCTACATTTTTTCCATTCGTAAAACAGATATGCCGTAGCTTCTTAGCCAAATTTTACTCAACACATAAATGACCTAAACCTATCCAAAGAATAGGCCAATGCTAACCTCTCTCTAAGTCTGAACTGCCAAAAATGGACAGCCTTCCGCGTGGATTCAGTCATCGTGGAGCAATTGCAGGAGACTACCATTCTACTTGATTCCATACACGCACCAAGATCATGGCAAATTGGCAATTTGATGGTGTCCATTTGCACTACCAAACATGCAAGAAAACCATCTTAAATAAATATATCAGGATAACAAGTGATGCTGTATCCATTATGTACACTTCACTACCAAAAATACATTGCTTAGTTGCTTATATAACCATTTTTCTCCATCCTGATGTAGAGAAAAAAACAGTGGTTCAAAATTCATGCATATTTGGTAACTATATTAATGCACAGAAGAGGGAAATTTGGCATATCTGGCATAAAACCATAGGATATGCCCAATAACCCAATACAGCACACAGAGCTTTGTGTTGTCTACCTTTAAACCCAATGGCTGAAAATGCTTACAAAGTAAATTTGCCGTTCACATGTAGTACCAGATGAATAACATAACAAAGAAAAGGAAGAAACATAATTCAATGTATTTTTCAATAAACACTAACCTTAACCCCGATAAGATGCACACCAACTGCTCACGCTGCACACATGTCCTTGCAATTGATCCAATATTTCCTAGGATATATGATGTACAATTATAATGCAGTGACGACCAATGATTCTCAAGTATGCTATCTACTCTTTACATTGCAGAATATAAAATATAAGCATCCAGTAAGCTGAGTTATTGACTAAATACACAAAAAGCATCTGTGTTCCCTCCTGCTGTCATAATGAGAAGAAGCTGGACATCGTTAGTGTTATCCAAAATTTTTCTACACACATGAACTCCTAACTTTTTTTCCAAACTACCAACTTTCTCCAAACTTCTCATCAATTTTAGAAACTAAACACAGCCGAAATGGCGGTTGATATCATTCTTTTTCTCTACTCTTCTTTCTGTTACGTGGTGATGCCTTGCCTTGTCTTCTGGTAACATGAAGCCATCTTTCGCAGTAGATCTTCAAAGTGAGCTTCAAACGGTTGGCGATCAATTTTTAGCAACTCTCCATAATCTACTCTACTAATATGTATATAATATTTCTACAGGGAATTAATATGCACGATAGAATCACTAAAATATTTGATCAAATATCAGTTTTTAAGAACTCTTTTAGGATATTTAACCAGCACAAATTATGACCATCTAAACTTACGGGGAGACACATATTAACATGCTCAGAATTTTAGATAGAACATTGAGAGGCATTTTGTCAAGCAGTTCATGAGCAGCAAGGCATTTTGTAGCATTAATACAAACCACACAATGCTAGCAGTGAACATGTACACCATGGTGATTTTCATCATCACAAAATTCAGAAAAGCCACCTTACAATCCGATTGGATGAGTGTCAAGCATGCAAGGAATGTCAAAAGCCAGAAACATTGCAGGCATCAAGATGCTTGACTCCGTCAGAAGCACTCAGTTGGCAGAGGTGATCCTATCAGGATTCAAGACATACAACAAACTGAACGAACTATATTTTCAAACACTCAATCAAACTCTGCAGTACCTTCCAGAAATATTTGGTTTGCACTTCTTCATCATTTAAGCAGCAATTGCTACACTACAACCAAACCAAGTGATACCAAATTAAACAGAATTTGCTCACCTGGCGCTGAGGGGAAGTAGCACCTGTATGCTGGATTGGGGAGACCGTGCACTGGACGGATGGCCGGTGGTGCCCTGAACGGAGGACCCGCGACGCCCTAAATCATCGATGGGACGCCAGGCCCTGGGTGGAGGATCGCCAGCGCGCTGGATGGACGGAAGGACGGAAGGGAAGACGGGGGGAGGAGGGGGGGTGCTGAACGGAGGGGATGGCAGAGGCGGCACGAGCGAGGAGATGACGCGGAGGAGACCGGCGCAGAGTAGACCGCCGAGGCTGCCGACGGTGTTCTTGCGGTGGAGATAGGGGACGGCGAGGTGGGCGACGATTCGCGGCGGTCCCGAGCGGGTGGAGACGGCGGAGAAAGACCCGAGCGACGAATACGGTGGTGGCGGCACGGGACAGCGGTGCGTCGGCCCGGCCCTGAGCAGCGGAACGATGGCGGCGGTGGCGAGACGGACCCGAGCCGCAAGCTTCGTGGGGGGCGGAGACGGCGCATGGTGGCTGACGGGTCAGACGGCGAAGAGAGGGCGCGGTGGGGTGAGGGAGGTGGGAGCGACGTGGGCCGTTGGATTGATACGGAGGGAGCTGCAGGAGAGGCGCGATCTGCGTGGGAGCACCGGTGCCATCGGATGTAATTCATCGGGTGGTTTTAGATAGTTGGATGTGTCACATAATGAATATGAACTATATGGTAGATTGGATATTTCGGATCTCTATATTTTACCTTGAGTTTAGAGTATATTTATTGCTCATTGATAGTTTGCATCGCTAGGAGTAATCTATTTTTGGTTAAGTAAATTCTGAATAGCATGAAACTAATTTCACCTTGACCTTAAATTCTGCTAAATAATTTTGAGCCCATTATGTATGAAGATGGATGGGTACTAAATTAACTTTCTATAGGCAAACGATCAAATCATGCCTAATCTCACAGCCACGATGTCTCGTCCCTCTCGTCGAACTTTCCGCCGCCTCATCTCACAACCACGACGGAGGCGTTTCGTTGTCCAGCGTTTTGTGTGTTCATGCGGTGGCCGCTTGATGGCTGCCATCGGCTTCCATGTGCGTTACGCGGCTATATTTGCATGCATGAGCGGCTGGTTTGAAATTCAGTTTCCGATATCTTTCGCTTTGGTTCGACGTCAATTATAGACGGTGATGTGTGTAAGTTCTAATCAGTAGAATGATTGGACTCTAATTTTGAGAATTTGTTTTTCACTACTAGAAAAGGCATTTTTGGAGGCGGCCAAAACTCATTTTTGCAGGCGAGAGAGAGGTCCGCCTGCACCACGACGACTGCGCAGTTGGGGCAACGGCCCGCCTGCGAAAATAAAAGGAACGAACAAAAGAAAATCGCGCCAGGAGCCGCCGCCGCCGCCGCCGCCCGGCCCGCGCCGCCACCGCCCGGACTGCACCGTCGCCGCTCCATGCCGCCGCCGCCGCCCGGACAGCGCCGTCGCCGCCGCCGCCGGCCTCCCCCCTCCCTCCTCCGGCCAGATCTGGGAGGGAGGGGGAGGGGAGCCGCCGCCGCCGCCCGGACAGCGCCGTCACCGCCGCCGCCGCTGCCGCTCCACACCGTTGCCGCCACCGGCGGCCTCCCCCCTCCCTCCTCCGGCCAGATCTGGGAGGGAGGGGGGAGGGGAGCCGACGCCGCCGCCCGAACTTCGGCCGCACCGCCCTCCTCGGCTGCGCCTCCTCGCTGCCACTGCCGGGAGCACAGCCACCGCGCCGCCTCGCCTCCTCCGCCGGGAGCACACGCCGCCGCCTCCGGCCGGCGGCCGGGGAGAGGGGAGAGGAGGGGAGGAGAGGAGAGGAGGAGAGGTGAGGGCAGGGGAGGGGAGAGGAGAAGATGTGAGGGGACTTAGAAAAAATTTAGGCCCGCCTGTCTATTTATATTAAGTCTATTTTCGCGGGCGTACCACTTAAGCGGCGCCTGTGAAGTGGTCCGCCTGCGCCGCTTAAGTGGACCGTCTGCGAAAATATTTTCGCAGACGGACATTAAATTTCACCCCGATTTATATTTTTGTAGATAGTCATTTGGCTCTGAGGGTCATGTCCGCCTTCGAAAATAAGATCTTCTATGTTAGGAAAAATGGTTTTTATAGTAGTGTTTATATTTGAGGACGACAAACATATAGTGTTGTCTCTGTTTTTAGGTATCGTATTTGAGGAGGACAAACATATATAAGGTGTGTTGCAACCCTCACTCCATAGCAAGTGAAACGAAGAAGCGTTAAGTCCATGATTAATTCAGTATTAGTTAAAATAAATTTGAAAGATAGTAACTTTCATATAGAATTTTTTTTTTTAAAAAAATACCGTTTAGCAGTTTGAAAAGCGTGCACGCGGTAAACGAGAAAGGTGAGTTAGGAAAGTAGAGGTGTGTTATCTTTGTATGTCTTTAGGATGGTGTTTCAATTAGGTTTCTTATGATCCATAAGCTGTGATAAGTAATAAGCGTTCGTTCAAACTACAAACTTGGTACTCCCTCCGTCTTAAAATAAGTGCAGCCATGAGTTTTTTTTTCCAACTTTAATCATTCGTCTTATTTATTATTTTTTTAAAAAAACTAAAAAAAATAGTCACGCATAAAATACTATTCATGTTTTATATTCTAATATCAATAAAAATACTAATCATAAAAAAATTTCAAATAAGACGGACGATCAAAGTTGAGCACAAAAACTCATGGCTGCGTTTATTTTGGGACGGAGGCAGTAATAACGAGTTGTAGATTGGATGAAATAAAGGACACAATGAATTCTATTATCTTTTTTTAAAAAAAGAAGTCAAATCATGTGCTTGAACAATTGTAACAGTGAAAGGCAAATGAAACCCTGGAAGAAATGACGTCTTCAACAGTTGTGTCCTTAACTTCATTTCCTTTTCAAAATTCTGTAAAACATTGTGGCCAATTATATGATACGCATGCCAGGAAATGCTTGCCAGCTATGCATAAACTGTTTGGATTCTATTGACGCTTCAAAACCCTCTCGTGGTGATCTAAATTTTGGTTAGATTGCCATCTACATCAACTATTTGATTTATTGCGATTTGGATTTGCTATTATAAACCGTCTCTATCAAATGAAAGGCTACTAGAGTACAGCATAACTACAAGTTGGCTGGACCTTTAAGATCAGAAAAAGAACAGAATCCAATGGCGATAAAGGCCATCAGAGTGGGGGACAAAATTTGCATTCCTCAACATGAATTTCGTTTGTTTGTCGGAGAATCTACACTCCTAGCCCAGGTGAAGGAAAAAACTGGTATTGATCGTAGACGCAAAATTAACCAATTCGTTATCGAGATTGTTCTGGGTTACTCCTTATGAGATGAAGGGAATTAAAAAGAATTAATTTCACACCTCGATGGATATATAATAAATCTTTCTCAATCTTTTTACTTTTTTAATGAGGAATTAACTAAACAAAGGTGGGTTTTAAATCCTGATTTCCGCGCTTGAATGATTGAGTTAGTTCAAGTCATTTGAATTCTCTTTTGTCGTAATATAATACTACGAAGAAGATAGGACTCAAAATTGAACGCTGACAGAACGTGGGACTTACACTCATGCACATAATGACACACTACAATCTGAACCGTGACCCCCACGCTCTAATATAATCTAAACTAGTCTAACATCATTTGATGCATTAGTTAGCTAATTTAATTTTCTTTCGAACTAAGCAGTTGGTTCTTATTAAAACCTACAAAATAAATAGCAAGTGGTGATGTACGTACATGCATGGTGCCGCATTATTGATGTGTAAAGTATCCTTATCTGTTTAACTAACTAATTAAGTAACGATGGCTTGAGACACTACGCGTATTAATTAGTGTGGGTATAGAAAGATCAAAACCAAAATTTACGATATGTGACGGAGCGAGCCTGTAAAAAGCATTGGCTGAAATTTCATGGACATATAAAAAATATATATTATTTGTTTGCTTATATATGGTGAGCATTTCATACATGCAATGAGGTGAAGCACAATCATTCGAGAGTATAACATTACATTTATTCTTTTTTTTTAAATGATGGACATACACACACATCCACACACACCATCAAGCATCTCTCGCCAATTAAAACATTTGTCCACGCCTTCTTCTGATGGCAATCCTAAGAGTAGATACAATAGCAAACTACTATAAACTAACTATAAATATATTTTAAAAAGATAAAAAATACTCCCTCCGTTCCAAAATATAAGACACAACCACCCTTAACCCAAAGACCAAAAAATAATTAATATCTCATTGTTGTCATGAATCACCTAATTAATACAATACATGCAACTAATAGAATTAAGGATCTTGTGAGTATATGATTTAAAATAATAATAATTTAGAGGAGAGAATGTGCTAATTAATTACATGCATGCATACACGCCCTATATTATGAAACCACTTTAAAAATTAGTTGTGCCCTATATTTTGGAATGGAGGGGGTAAGAGAGAAGAGCAGTGGACTACATATTTATAGCCAGCGATAGCACGGACTCCAAGATATAATATGTATATAACAGGTGGAACCAGATATTAATAGTGTAATATATGTTTACAGGTAACTATTGTATGAATTAACTATTAAATTAATTATATATGTTTTAGAGCTATTAGTTAGCTATACTAAACTTGATCTAAGTCACCCATGGATGTAAATTAAACCGAGTACCTGGATCCCAACTCCCTAAGCTTTAATTATTTTGTGGATATATAATAATTTCATAAAACCTCTGAAAATGCAGAGGTGATGAGATGGTTGGCAGCCAATACGTGTCAAAAATCCCGTCATCGGTTGGGACGATTAGGAGGAAGATCATAGCCGGCCGGAATCGATTAATATTAGTAGTACATGTTTGATTGTCTCCTTACTTATTACAAAAGAAAAGAAAACACTTGAAAACGACTACTCGATCGTGACCCTGCACTTCTCGACGCCATTTCGACCCAGATTTTCGCTTGTAGGGCGTTTTCAGGCTAGAACAAAGATGCCGACCTGATTAAATTGCCGTGTCAGCATAACTCTATGATGATGATTATGCTGGGTAAATCGTAAACTTGACACAGGTGTTTGTAGCTCGTATTTACGGTTAATTATCCTTTTAGTGATAGATGATATACCCGTCGATAACGAGAGGAGACGTTTATAATGATTTTATCAATCGTAAGATAAACCGATCTAATCTCTTGAAGATGTAATATATAAGGGTATGGTGTATATTTGAGCGTTTCTAAGGGTTAGTATACTATCTGTGTGTATATATGCAAGTTGTGAGCTCGTTTGAACAGTGTTTTAAAGAAAATTCCGGTTCTTGTTTGCGAATTTTGTGCACAAAATTTCTGTTTTTGTGCGTAGTTTGGACGTTTCCTTTTTGTAAATTAATGACGTTACAGTACTAAGTAATCAGTTGGTTTTGTGGAAGACAGCAATTGGATTAGCTGTGTTTGTGCCGGGCTGCTTAAATATTCGCGCTACGTACTCTCGTACGCGACAGCGTGTCGCTCTCGATGCACGGCAAAGCTATACTTGTCCGTCGTTGATGCAGCCATATCTCTATCTCACTCATCTTATCTGCAC